TCAAGACTGGAAGATTCACTAACAACCTGTAATATGCAAACAACACAACCTTGCTTCAATAAAGTGAAGAGAATTGAAGCACTTACTGATAAAGACCAAAGATTACAGCCGTTAGTATGGAATACACCACAACATAACCAAAAATAAATCTAATGCTGTCAAGTTGATGCTGACTCAGTGACCCTCTAGGACAGAGTAGAACTGTCCCCTGGGGTTTCCAAGGCTGTAAATCCTTCCCAAAGTAGACTGACTCATTTTTCTCCCAGTGAGCAGCTGGTATATTAAAATCACCAATATTCTGGTTAGCAGCTGAATACTTTAACCACTGCAACACCAGAGCTCCTTCCTCAACAGAAAGAAAACAAAGCTTTTACTTGGATCCACAATCAATGTCCATGGAAGCAGCAGTCAAGAAATCAAATAATTCATTGTTCTGGGCAAATCTGTTACAAAATACCTCTTCACTGTGTTAAAAAGCAAAGACGTCACTTTGAGGACTAAGGTGTGCCTGATCCAAGCCATTGTATTTGCAATTGCCTCACACGCAACCAAAAGCTAGACAATGAATAGGGAAGACTGAAAAATAACTGATGCCTTTGAATTATGGTGTTAGCAAAGAATATTGAATATATCATGGATTGCCAGAAGAATGAACAAATCTATCTAGGAAGAAGTACAGCCCGAATGCTCCTTAGAAGTTAGGATGCACTTTAGACATGTTACAAGGACATGTTCCCAGCCCCTGGAGAAGGACATCATGCTTGGTCAAGTAGCGGGTCAGTGAAAAAGAGGAAGACCCTCAACGAGATGGACTGACACAGTGTCTACAACAATGGACTCAAATATAGCAATGATCGTGAGGATGGTGCAGGACTGGGCAGTGTTTCATTCTGTTGTATGTGGAGTTGTTGTGAATCAGACCCAACTCGACAGCACCTAACACAACGACAAGAAGTCACACGATACTCCAGCTATTTATATTGTTTTATTTTGAAAATGTTGTATCTACTTGAATGACTGAAAATATTAATGGGAACAAATAACTGGAGTAATTTACAAAGTCCCATTTAATCTCACTAGCTGTCATTATGTGCTCTTTTGTAAAGGTGTTACTAAAAACTGACTTACTACATTGGGATATCCAAACACTCTGCATTTATTTATCTTCTCATCACATAATCACCTGCTTTTCAGGGGGTTGAAATAACTATCCTACAGTTACCAACGGGAGCTCTGGTAGCATAGTGGCTAAGACACTTGCCTGCTAACCAGACGGCTGGCGGTTCAAACCCACCAGCCACTCCTCGGAAGGAAGGTTGGGCAATCCTACTTCCGTAGTGATACTGCCTCGGAAACCCAAGGAGGGGTCGCTATGAGTCGGGGCCGACTCGACGGCACATAACAACAACAACAACAACAGTTACCAACAGAGTTAAGATGGCTCTGATGTGCTGACGCGGCTGCTGATGCGGGAGCCAGCGCGGGTGCTGATGCAGGTACTGATAGAGGTTCAATCTCCCCGTTACCATGCTGCCTGTTGTTTACCTGAAGTGTTTCACAACCACAAAAGCAACAAATATATTTTCTTGAACATAATTCAATTCACATCCCCCATGATGTTAAGGACACCACATCCAGAGAACTGCTGTGAACCCCAACCCCTGAAGCCCATTAGCAGATCTTAGAAGTGGTCAAATGATTTTGGCTTCTTTCTGCCTCAGCACAGGAACACAGCCGTTTGCTTGTGTAGAAAATGACAGTCACATATGGGGGAAAAACTACTTTTGCTGTCCATGATGAGAATTAGCTTCCCTCGGTGCACAACACCACACCTCACGGCTGAAGGGCAAAGTGTTGCTGCCAGCTGCTGCCGAGTCCCCCAGGGAACAGGACGCGGCCGGGCCCTGTGTCATCCCCGTTGTTAGCTGTGGACTGGGCTGCCGAGCTCCACAGGCTTCGCACTGGCTGATCTTGGAAGTTCACCACCAGGCCCTTCTTCCCAGTCCATCTTGGTCTGGAAGCTCCACCGAACCCTGTCCAGTACTATAGCAACACACAAGCCTCCACTGACAGACAAACTGCCTGGGCTGGGACTCAAACCCAGGTCTCCCACATGGGAGACCAGGCTTCCACCACTGAACCATCAAGCTTTCTTCAGTATGAAACATCAGACTTCAAGGCTGCAAAGCAAAGCAGTACACTTAAATCTGTTTCTCTTGCAGCCAGCCCCACAACTGAGAGCGCTGACTCCCTAGCTGCAAACAGGGTAGCAAGACAGGAAGCTGAATCCCAGTCTGACCTTAGACGGGAAGACTTCTCAAATCTCTGTTTCTCCACAGTAAACAGGGTTACAGCCAGCCCTGTCTCAGTGCCACAGAGCTGCTACAAAGATCAAAGGAGATATTCTAAAGTACTTTGAAAACTGTTAATAAATAAATAAATAAATAAGCAAACTAAGTTATTTTTATCCCATAGAGAAATTTTCTCAAAGTCACACAAAAAAAGAAATACAATCCAAGAGGCTGACCAGATAAAACAAACCTTTATCATCAACTGAGATACATACTCATTTTAGAATCTCGTAACAGTGCTGTAAATTTAAGAAAACACAAAATAAAACTTCTACATATCTCTAAATTTAAAGAAGAACTAATACCAACTATTTGCAAACTCTTCCAAGAAGTGGAAGAGAAAGAAACACTCCCCAACTCACACTATGAGGCCAAGAACATCCTGATATCAAATGCAGACAAAGACATCCCAGGAAAACCACATGCCAGCATCTTAGGAATACAGATGCAAAATCCTGCACAACAAAATAGCACAAATCCAGAAATGCATATGAAGGGTTACATATGCCATGATCAAGTGGAATTTATCCCAGGAATACAAGGTTGGTTTAATATCCAAACAATAATTAATATAATATACACTTCATCAATAGAATAAAAGATAAAGACCCATGATCATCTCAACAGATGAAGAAAAAAACATTTTGACAAAATCCAATAGGCTTTCAGGATAAAAACACTCAACAAACAGGAACAGAGAGCATCGTCTTCTACCCTGTGATAAAGGGTATTCACAAAGAACCCACAGCTGACATCCTCCTGGAGTCCCTGGGTGTACAAACGGTTACCGCGCTTGGCTGCTAACCACAAGGCTGGTGGTTCAAGGGCACCAAACTACTTCCCAAAGGCCGTCCCTGAAGACCTCACAGGCACAGCTCTACCCTGATACACACGGGGACTGTCACGAGCTGGAATCGACTCCACGGCAACGGGCACCTAACGGTGAAAGACTGGAAGCTTCCCCCTGAGACCAGGAACAAGACACGACGTCTGCTCCTGCCACTCCTACTCAGCCCTGAACTGGAGGTTCTGACCATGGAAACAAAAGAAAAGCATTCAGGATGAAGAGACGTAAAACTACCTCCATTTGCAGAGGACGTGACAGAGAAAATCCTAAGGGATCCAAGAAACAACTAACAGATAATGAGTTCAGCATGGTTACGGGTGCAAAATCAACATAGAAAAATCAATTGTATTTCTATACACTAGCAATGAACAAGAAAAGAATTCAATTCACACTATCATTTACACTCTGAAAATCACAAAATACTATTCAAAGAAATTAGACAAGACCTAAGTAAATGGGAAGATATTCTATGTTCATAGACTGGAAAACATAATGTTGTTAAGATGTCAATATCCCCAAATGGATCTACATACTCAACACAGTCACTATCTAAATCCCAGCTGATGTCTTTGCAGAAACTGACAAGCTGATTCTAAAATTCTTATGGAAACTCAAGGGACCCAGAATAATCAAAACAATTCTAAAAAAAGAACAAAGTTGGAGGACTCACACTTCCAGATCTCAAACCTTACTATACAGCTATGTGGCACTGGCCTAAGGAGTCACACAGATCAATGGAACAGAAATGAGCTCCAGAAATAAGCTGAGCTTCAACAAGGGTGCTGTGGCAATTCAACGGGGAAAGAAGGTCTCCCACAAACACTTCTGAGATAACTGGATATTCACATGCAAAAAAAATGATGTTGGACCCCTTCCTCACACCACACAAGAAAAGAACTCAAAATGTATCACAGACCTAAATGTAAGAACTATAAAATTCTTAGAATGTAAGAGCCAAGCTATCTTCATGACCTTGGGTTAGGCAGTCTTAACTAAGACGCCAAATCTCCAATTCAGCAGGTCTGAAGCGGAGCTCAAGACTCTGCCTTCCAGGTGGTGCAGAAGATGCTGGTCTGCAGGCTACTCTAAGGAGCCAGGCTTGGGAAGACCCGGGAAGTCACACCTTGCCAGGGAGCAGGCACCATTAACACCCGCCTTATCAATCAGCTCTTTTAAAGTACGCATTCGGTGCCATTAAACAAACAAAAGTCAAAACTTTAATTCACTGTCACCTATCGGTGGCTTCTTCCAGTGCATCCCTATCCCACTGTGACAACTACACGGCCTCTCATTCGTCCATATCCCCAGCAGTTAGCACAGGCCTGGGACACAGCAGGCCCTCAGTAACTGCCTGTCAAATGATGCTCCACACCCCCAACATGTTTCATTTCAGTCCCTTTCTTCTTGGTAAGCTATTTTTTGTTGACTGCCCTGTCTTTCCCATTTGATTATAAATTCCTCAAAGACAGAGACTTATTGTGGGGCACACAGTCAGGCACACAATGGACACTCAGTTAATGTCTAATGACCTAGCCTGCATGTCTGAACAGAATAAGCACGCTCCATTCAGTTCCTGGAGAGAACACACAGGAACAACATATCCTGAAGTTGCCATCTTTCTTTCCAATGACTTTAAAATGCTCACGTCTCATCTTCAGAAAAGTTCAATATACACAATGCAAGGCTCATCAGCTCTACTTAATAAATAAGAAAATGGCAAGAAGGTATATTATGCCATCACTATATTATGCATCTCTCAGACAACTTCATCTACATAGGAAAAAACATTTAACAAATGGTACCTCAGTCTTCCCACATTCATCAGGCGGATCCTGGTGTATGGTCATTTGATACTTGACATACAAAGAAAATGACTGGCTGAAGGACGACTTGAACTCTGGGTCCTCAAAAGAGACAGGTACTAGCCTCACCTTCAGAGCAAGGGAAATACAAGCAAAGGCTATTGAAACATTTCCACCCAACTACATGCTTCTGAAGGTGAGGCTAGAGCAGCATCTCCACAAACTCACTTCCAAAGCTCAGCTCTGGCCTCTGTCCTGAACTGAGTGAACCCTGGAGCCCCTCAGGTGCTAACTGCACTGATAAGATGGAAATCTGAAATTCCCAAGGGCCAGACGGCTTCCTATATGTTTGTTTGTTTCCCTACCCACCTGTAGTGATTCTCTGCTTACACTAAAGTCAAACTTGCTGTTAACTGCGCCTCAAGTATTGTTGCCACTACTTGTTTGACTTCTGCTTATATGAGGCATGTTAGACTCTTTCCCCTTCCAAATTCCTCTTGGGTAATGCTATTAATAAAATTATAAGCACATTAGGACTTCTATTAAAACATTCTATTATCTTAATTTTGTAGTCTCTGTCAGTTGTGCCAAGGCAGCACGTTAACAAAGAATAATTTAGCAGCTATGAACCCTGTCTGAGTTTTAAATGTGGTTAAAGCTATTAACAGAGCTGTGTAAATATGCCTACCTTAAAAATACAGAGTATTCTGCTTTTACTCATTGAAATTTTAACTTAAAGTGCTATAAATAATAAGTATTATTACTAACTTATACATGAATGCATTCATACAGTGACTTTAAATAAAGATTATTTGATGTGTTACTTTCCAACTTGCAATTTTATACACAGCTGTCACGTAATACAGCAGCAGGTGAAATTTGCACTTTCAGAATATTAATTAATTCACAGTCCTATCTCTTTGCAGGTGTGCTGCAAATTGACTATAAATAAAATGTACCACAAATAAATGCAGAATTCATACAATGAGATCAAATGGAGGGGAAAGTTCCATCTGCACATAAAAATTACACGTGGCCCGCTGACCTGGCTCATAGTTGGCTTATCAGATGGGTCCTTGTGAACAATCATCTGGTAACGTTTATAGATCTGGTAAGACTCCTGAAATGTGGCTTTGAACTGAGAACTTGGTGGAGATGATCTCACCACCTTCACCTTCAGAAGGAGTTAAAAACAATGTTTATTAATTCATTTATTCATCCCATGGGATAGGTATTTACAGTTACTCCCATTCAGAAAGAACCACAACAAATATTAACACATAAACATATTGCAATAATATTTTAACATTAAAAAGCAATGATCAGTAAATAAACAGTTATTTTGACAGCCTACGGGGCTTCAGAGAAACACGAGGAAGGCCGAAGGAGCTCTTCAAGGAAGGTGAATGACTCCTCTAAGCCTGCACACGTCACACAAAAAATAAGCCCTCGCTATGCTGTATAGAACTCACCTTCAGTAAGTCCTTCCAAAGAACTAAAACTGGGATCCTACCTGTTGGAAATGTCTTCACTCATTGTTAATAACTCTAAACTTACAACCTTTTTTTACAAGTTTAAAAGACTACCCTCACCAAAGGGTATCCTGTTTCACAGCACAGTTAAAAATGAAGACTCAGAAGTCAGATTTCCTTTGTGAAAAATGAGTTCCATCATCTGGTCAAGTGACTTAACCTCGATGCCCGTTTCCTCATTCGTAAAATGAAGATGAGTAACTGACACATGGTAATGGCTACATCTGTTGAACCTTTACCATTATTTAGTATCACTGCTACTATTACCAAAATTTATTCACAAATAGCAAAGATAAAGCATTCTAACTTTTTATAAAAGTATGTAAACTTGTGTTTCTACTAGCACACGCAAGTATGTGAGCTACAAAGCTATTCTTATTTTAGGCACCATTTCTGTGCTTTCAAAAATCTACAGCCAAGGAGGCACAGGATAATGACGCTTAATTGAAGCAAAATGTCAAATGGAAGAACAGAATGACAAAATATTCATGGTGACGCTAATATAACTGACTACAATATGGAAAAGAGCTAGAAGGAGAAATGGGACACCAAGCAGTTAAAATGCATTAACAAACAGAAAAAAAAGAAAACCAAATGCAATATAATAAAGGTGTAACTGCAAACTCTGTGTCCGTGTGTGTGCACGCGCACACGCGCATCCTACACACCATCACTCAGTAGTTCTTCTTTGAAGAAAGAGTGACACCTAGTGGATATTGAGTCTCTGTACATCCTGGGTGCATAAAAAAGGTGAGAGACTTGCACTGCATGAATTGTGAATAGGTATGCCTGGCACCCTGAAGACATCACTATTTATCTTCCACTTGTTCTTCTGTCAAAAGATAGAAGACTCCTCATATTTTAAGTAGAGTGTCAGCTGAAAAAAAAAAAGAACAAGGCAGCAAATGCCTAACAGACTCTTCACAATTTTCAAAGAAGGGTCACTACCAAGATTGGAATAGCCAATGAACAAAGTAATGAAAAGAAATCTTCCTTGTGGTACTGTGTATCATGTCCCACTGCTGAGCCTGTGCCAAAGTTAATTTTTAGTGTCAGATCTTCGGCAGTAAGTGATACTCATGGATGGTATTAAGCTATAAATTCAAAGGCTGACCTGTTACTGATTAACTGTGAGAAAATTATAAAATCATTACTTTTTAATTTTGCAAATATCAAAACGAGAAATCTAGACTTAATCTGGAAGGTGTAGATCACTTAGAAAAGAATAAAAGACTTAGCTCTATCAGTATCCACGCCTACACTGGCTCGGGGAAAACGAGTAAGAGAGGGTTACAGCAGTCCTGGGGAAGCTTAGTGCTTGTCAGTCGAGCTCCTAACTGCCGGCTAGCTCGAGATCAGGGCATTCGATGGGTGAAACAGGGATTTGCCAAGCGTAGTCTATTTATTCTCTCTCAATACTTAGACAGAAACAGCCAAAACTGAAATTTTAAAGAGCACTTTTCTCTTTTGCTTTAACAACTAAATTTCAGTCATGAGAAACCAAAAGCTAGAGCAATTTCCAAAATAAATTGCCAAAGCAGGAATTGTTTCCACAGCTTTAGCAGCCAATCTGCTTAATGCATTTTCAAAAAAGATCTTCTAAAAAATCTTTTTTAAAAAGATTACTCTTAAATAGCAAGGCACTTTTAGTAAATGCACGTGCTATTCCATCCTCATTCACTTTTTTCTGTTTGGTAATGTCAACACATTAAATGATTAGCATAAATGCCAACAGAAATAAACTAGGTACCCAATGAAGAACACCAAGTACAACAGTCTAACCAAATGAACAAACAACCCACCCTCCAAAATACCTCTAACTTGTGGGCTGCATCCTCCGGTAAAGGTTCAAAAATTAAATCTTCAAGGGATTTGGGCTGGTTGGATTTAGCCTTTGGCGGGATCAAAGATGGCGGTTCTCCTTGGGCCGGGACACCCTGGAGTTCCCCGGCTGCACTTGGCTGCATAAGCTTTAACCTTTTCCTTTCTTTCCGGATTTCCTTTGCTTTTCGACATGGGGGCTTACTCAAATCAGCCCCCTTGCCTAAAAAGAATGTCAAGATATTAGATCAATCACAGTTGGCTCTAGAAATACTATTTCAAAAGTCTCCAAGACTTTCAGTACAGAGTTCTGACCAGTTAGCTTTGGGGGAGACGTGACAGAGGGTCCTGGTGGCCACCTCTAAGTTAACCTTAAAGATCTCACCTTAGAAGAGAGAGCCACCAAAGAAAATAGTCACGAAACCTTTTTAAGGCAGCTCTTACTGAAAATCTTTTTTGTGTTGATTGTTTTTCAATCTTTTTTAGTCTTGTAGGTAGGAAGAACACGATCAAATGTCTTTTCTGCTTCAAGGGACGGCTTACTAGTCCGTGTTTCTGAGGGGCACCTCTCACTCTGACAGATGAATAATCAGGAACCAGTGTAAATGAGCATGGTCCCAGAACATACTCTGTCATACAATGTAACAGAAACCCTTGCCTAATTGAAGGTATTTGTGTCTCTCTCCTTTTAACTAAGGAGTCTCATTGGTTCCATTCTACTTAAATAAAGTTTGGTTTTAATTAGAAGACCAAATATCAAATTGATAACCCTTTAAAATACTAAAAAGTAAACCTTTATTTTAAACTACAGTAAGCCATAATTTTAGCAAGTACATATTATATTTATACAGTACATTATAAAGAAACTACTTCATCTTTAAAGTAGGTAATTTGTAAGCATGCTTTTATTGAGCTTTAAAACTATTCATACCCTTTAAGCTAGTGACTCTTCTTCAAAGAATCTATCCTGAGAAAATTTTAAGAGAAGGAGCTAATACTGATGAACGCAAATGAGAACTCAAAACAATCTAATAGAACATCATACAACCATTAAAAGTGCTTTAAAAGAGGCTATAGAGAATCTCTCAATAGTGCTAAATAATTCTGGTTACATATAAACATATATATTAAAAAATATTTTTAAAAAGCCTAGAAATATATATACAAAGAAATATACCACCACATTTACACTCATTCTACCTGCCACATAGGGAAGAAAAAGTTTATCTTTTCTCTAAATTTTATGACTCTAAATTTTAATGAACATTAATTTCATAATTTTTTTTTTACAAAAAGCCATGAAAAATATAAAGAAAGCTATTAACAAAATAAAAAACAAAAATTTTTTTAAGATCTCAACTAGGGGTAGACACATATTAACTTGGGTGAAGAGGAAAGCAATACGCAATTTAAAAAAAAAAAAGAAAAACCCACTGCCAGACTCAACTCCAACTCAGAACAGAGAAGAACTACCCATAGGGTTTCCTAGGCCATAAATCTTGATGGAAGCAGACTGACTCACCTTTCTCCCATGAACCAGCTGGTGGGTATGAAAAGCCAAACTTCTGGTTAGCAGCTGAATGCTTTTAACCACTGTGCCACCAAGTGAAGTTAAAATAAGATGTTTTTAACATTTATGAGTCAGACCTGACTCATAGCGACCCCTCCTTGGGTTTCCAAGGCAGTATCACTACGGAAGTAGACTGCCCAACCTTCCTTCCAAGGAGTGGCTGGTGGGTTTGAACCACCAGCCTTCTGGTTGACAGTCAAGTGCCTCAGGCACTACGCTACCAGAGCTCTCCTAAATAAGATATATATGTGTATATATACATACACATACATACATACCAATCAATTGCAAGATATGAATATTATCTGGATCCCAATGCAAATAAATGTTTATACTTTGGAAATTTGAACATTGACTATTTGATGGCATCAAGGAATTTTATTTGGGTTAATAATGGCATTGTGAATATGTTTTTTAATCTGTTGGAGATTCTTTTGAAAGAGGAAATTATATAAAATCTAGACTATGCCTCAAAATACAACTGGAAGGGAGGAAGTGGACATGGGTATGGGTGACATCAGAATGGCCATCATGAGTCAGTAAGTGTTTCAAATGAGAGTAGGGTCCATGGAGCTCAGGATATTCCCGTCTACCTTTGTCTATGTTTGAAATTCTCCATTCTCTCTCTAATGAAGGTTGTTTCAATTTGATAACCTACAAATAAAGTACTAAGAGTTGGCCTTACTGCCCAAAAGCATAATGGTTGAAAGGAATTATCTAAATCATTCAAAATCTCAGATCAATAACAATTTAAATTCCACGAAACACTTACATATCAAACTGTTCAATAAAAGTGCAGATAAAATTTTTTGTGCTTTATCATGTTTAAGTCTTGAGATGATGAAAACTGAAAGAGTACTAAAAGTCTCTCCCTTAGAAAATTCTGTATAAATACAAGAACGAATTGAAGGACTGACGCATAATAACCATCCAACTTCACATTTTATAAAATATCGAAAGAGTTATTATATACACACACAAAAATGAACTCATTCAACGTTGACAGTCATCCTTTTTTTAAGTCTCATTCTTTCAGATGCAATGTATTAGGAAAAACATTTTTCTTATTAAAGGTAAACATCAAAACCCAGAAGTTTTTAAACTAAAATTTATTATGATTACGAAAGGAAAAAAAAGTGATAAACTGAAGGATTTTACAATGTCTTATTTTGAACATAACATCTCTCTATAATTTGTTTTAGGGAGCTCTGGTAGCATAGTG